CCGAGGAGGGACGGGAAGTGCCCCGGGCCATCCCGTCCATGCTTTCATGCTGCTGTGCCTCCTGCTGGCCGGGAGGAGAGAACACGGCGCCTGCCCGCTGCCCACTGGCCCGGATGCTGGACAGGACAGTCAACAGAGGCGTCTCCCAGCCCCAGCTGGGGGCAGAGGACTGAGGCCTTCCCCCTGCTTGCTCGCGGGATGTCAGGTGGTCTTCACCGGGTACTTAGGCCACATGGGTCCCAGGCCCGTCTGTGGGATGCTGGTCAGCTCCACCCTCAGCCCTGTCCCTGCGGGTCCAGACACTGACCCTTGGCTCCACAGACAGCTCAGGGGCCCCCCGCACCCAGACGCTGCCACAGCTGCTGGCCCAGAGGGCACCCACAGGGGGTCCAGAGGGTCCAGAGGGCGCCCAGGGGGTGTTCACAGGGTGCCCAGAGGGTGCCCAGAGGGTGTCCAGAGGCACAGAGGGGCAGAGCCCATGCACCGCTGGACGGGTCCAGGGCCCCCAGCCCCTCTTTGGAGGAAGCTGCAAGCACTGGGATGTCCCCTGCCCCCTGCTGTCACTGAGTCCGTCCGCTGTGGGGAGGTCCAGGCACCGCAGACGGGGAGGACAGGGCCGGTCCAGACCTGCCCAGCTGCTGGACCTGCTCCCTGAGTGCGCTCTCTTTGACAGACACTAGAGGGCGCAGCCGCTCCCAGTCCCCCAGGCTGAGCACGGTGTCCATCCCCCTGTGCGCCTGCAGGGGGCGCTGTGACAGGCCAGCCCAGAGCTGGGCGTGGGCCCTGGGCTGATGATGGGAGCTGGAGGGGGCTTCAGGCTGCAGGCCAGGTGGGGTGAACTCCCAAGGCCGGGCCTCGGTAAGACCCTTGCCAGTATCCAGAGGCAGGTACTCTGGACTGGAATGAGCAACACTGGACAGAAGCCGCCTCAGAAGAGGAGGGCAGGGGAGCAACTGGACAGTGTCCACTGGGGAGGGGAAGTGACCAGACCCTGGGCACAGGACTCACGCGTGTGCACACACGCACGTGCACACACATGTGCACACACAAGGAAATACGTGTGCATACATGTATACCCCACGTGCACACAGACATGCATGCCCATGCAAGGGCACACGTATGTGCGCACATGTACACACACATGTTTGCACACGGACACATGTGCCCACAAGGACATATGTGTGCACATACATGCACACAGGCACACATGTACACTCTCGCACACTGGTCTACACACACACACTCTGAGCAGATTCCACTGATGAAGAGAAGCACTTTCCACTGAACCACACAGCCCTGCGCCGCTCATCACCAGGGCCTCATACCATCATTGGACACCAGTCAGACCCAGGACCAACCCAGCTGCTGGTGCAGAATCAGACGCAGCCCCGAGCTGGGCTGGGTTCAACTGCTCCCACAACTGCCCTGCCAAGGCCAAGGGCTGTCCCCGCAGGCTCACAGATGCCAGGAACACAAGCCCCAGGCAAAGGAGCACCCGAGTCCTGGGGGTACTCCCCCCCTCCCCCACAGACGCCCCAAGCTCTCCTGCAATGTGTCCTCAGCAGGGCTGAGGGTCTTCACACGTGACAGAACCCCGTCCCCGCAGGTCAGTCTGGGGTGCTGCAGGCCGGGACTGGACAGGGAGGACAGAACGTGCTTCGGAAATAAGACGTCAGCCCAAGAGCAAATCTCCATGCGACGCTTTCAGAAACTTGTTTGTTTCCGTTTATTGCTGCACCAAAAGTATTGAAATCTCAGCTAAGAAAAGGTAAAAATGCTTAAAGGTCTTACAGAGGCAGAAATTAGAAGGGGGTCGTAGAGATAAGACAATGAAGCAGTTGAAGAGTAAGGTTCAATGTTTATTTCCATGTTAAAAATGATGAGTTACCCTGTGGTTAGAATATACCTTTATATTGGAAAATGAAGTCACTTTGAGAAATATTTCCAGACCAAAAAAAAAAAGGAAAAAAAAGAGGCGTGGGGTCCAGGGGTAAGGAGACCCGGGACGTCCCACAGACCCCAGGGGGCAGTGCAGAGGTCACAGCACACAGCCTCTGCTGCCTCTGCTGCCAAGGGATGTCCCTCCCAGGGACAGGGAGCCAGGACAGTTCAGAGACGGTGCGTGGACATCCCATGGCCAAGCGCGGGACTCAGTGGGCCCCTCCTCTGTGGTGGCCGGGCCAGCCAAGCGTCCAGTCCCACAGTCGTCGCTCTGGGGGGGGGTGCTGCCCTTCCCAAGTGCCACAGCCGTCCCCACCGGCCCCAGCTTCCTAGAGAAATGCTCCCAACGTCCAGAGCTGTCCCGGTGGGCATTGGCTCCTCTTGGGGAGCACGGCAGGGTGGGGTGTGGGTTTCCAGGACCTTCTCCCCCTCCCTCCCCCAAACCCAACACCACACCATGTGCTCCAACTCAGCCCTTCCCGCGCCCATGTGGCCCCCAAAACAGCGCCCACACCTTCAGGGCAGGTCACCAGCCGCCCACGCCCAGGCCCCCGAGGCTGCAGGGCCCCATGGGGACCCAAATTCTGCCCCCACAGGATGCCCCAGGCGGGACATAGCCGCCCGTCTCAGCCCAGGTCAGGTACGTGTCCCTCTGCTTGTTGACGGGGAACACGCAGACAACATCACTCATGTTCCCACTCAGCGGAAACGGGGCAGAAATCTCAGTGGGGCTGGGGGAGCCCAGTGAAGCCTGTGACCATCTGTGGGCAGCGGGGGGGTCCCACTAAAAGCTGCTCCCCGGATCACGCCTGTCTGTGCGAGGTGCATGTGTGTGTGCATATGCAGGAGTGCAGAGCGCACAGGCATGTGCACATTTGCGCAAGCAGGACTGTCTATCATGTATGTGTCTGAGTGTGTGCATGTCTGTGCACGTGTGTGCAGGCAGGACTATGTGTGCATGTGTGTATGAGTGTGTGCATGTCTCTGTGTGCATGTCTCTGTGTGCATGTATGTCTATGAGAGTGTGCATGAGTATGTGCGTGTGTGTGCGTATGTGTCCATGTGAGTGTATGTGTGTGCATTTGTATGTGTGTGCATGAGTGTATGTGTGCATGGATGTGCATGCGTGTACGTGCTCATGTGTGTGCGTATGCGTGTATGTGTGCACGAGTATATGCCTGCATGAGTGCATGTGTGTGTGCACATGAGCACGTGCTGGCAGTAGACCCCTCAGCCCTGACCCTCTGTTCGACTCCAGGGTGGGGCTGACGGCCCTCAGTGCCCAGCAGCCATGGCCGGGCTGGCCCAGGCCTCCAGCCTCGGCCACTGCTGCTCCGTGGACGAGCCCTGGAGACAGGAGCCTGCTTTGCCCCCTCCTGACGGCACCCGCAGCCCAGGCTGTCCCGGGAGGCTGTGCCTGATGGCCAGGAGATGTGGCCCCGGGGCGAGGCTGGCCTGGCCTCCTCCCTCTCTTTGGTCCGTGAAGGAGCAGCCGAAGCCACTGAGGACCACCTGGCCCCTGGGACCCTATTCCAAGGTGCTGCTTTCCCTGGGCAGCCCCTGAGGGTGGTGCGGGGGTCTCAGGGTTCCCGCTGCAGACAGACCAAAGGCTCAGGACGCCACCCCCTCAAGCTGCAGGCCCAACCCCCACACCAGCCACAGGGCCGCACCCCTGCAGGAGAGACCCGGGCAGAACGGGGGGGGGGGGGGAGGGGGGACGGGGGGACGGGGGCGGGGGGGGACGGGGGGGGGGGGTGGGGACGGGGGCAGGAACTGCCTGGAGAAACAGACAGGCTGAGCTGAAGGCCCTGGGTGCCCTCGAGGTCCTGGCGACCCTGACCTGAGGGCGGTTTCAGGAAAAGGCTGGGGGGTGGGGGGGGACAGTCATGAAGAGGCGGCCCGCACGCCCATCTGTCTCCTGCTAGTAAACCCAGGGCCATGGGCCCGTTTGGGCCATGCTCCCCCTGAGAACGTTCAGGCCATTCCCGAAACGCTTTGACTTTTTCTCCCTCGCCTGCTGATGTGTGGACATTCAGGGTTTTCCTCTTACGGCTGCTTGAGATCCGGGATGGTGACTATATGAAGCTGGGGGCCAGGAGACCCCGTGATTTTACACCCGAGCACTCCTGCCTTGGTCCGGCTCCTGCCAGAGATGAATGAAGACAGTTTCCGGAGAGAAAGTCGATGCCTGGAGGACTCGGCCCATGAGACTCTGGGACATTATTCTACGTACTGGAGAGGAATTGGTCTGGGCAGTGGGCAGGTTGGCTCTGCGGTTTCCCTAGCGCTATCTGAGTGTATTGATTCTACGTTTAGATTTCAGTTCGGGGAATGGCCCGTGGGGCCACGGAGCACTTGCATAAATACAGATATGTCAAGGTCTTTGCCTTGGAGAAGCCCCCCCACCCCCACACCCCGTGAATCTCGAACAAGCAGGAATTAAAAAGAAAACGTCTGTGGCTCACCACCTCTGTCCACTGCTTGAGCTTGAAGTAGGAAACTAGAAAGAGAAGCCGCCCCACACTGCCGACGGCAGGAAGTCCCCGTCCCGCAGACACAAGAAGGTCCAACAACAAAAGGAAGGACCGACAGAGGAACGACGCCCCCGGGAGGCGAGAGAGACGGACAGCCCCAGCCCGGGGCCAGCAGGAGGGAACGGGCGGGCCTTGGCCAGACACGTATGTACAGGAGACAGATGGCGAAGGCAGGGCGGGAGTCTCCTCTTCGCTTTTCAAAAGGAATTCCAGAGTCAAAGGAACCAGGGACGGGTTCAAAATCATATAAAAAAAATATAGCGAGCCGCCCGGGGCCCCTTCCACGGGCGTCTGCGCTCGGGCCGCCGTGCCCGGAAACGTCCGCTGTGCTTTAAAAGGTCGAGGAGTAAAAAAAGTCAGTGTCAGAGGCCGCTCCGGTGCCGCGTGGCCGCTGGTCAGCGGGCGAGCCCCTCGGGCCCACGGGGCCGGAGCTGGGCGCCCACAGCGGCCACACGCGGCCCCGGACACGCTCCCCGCCGGCCGCGGCCCCCAGAAGGCATCAAGGTGAAGACACACGAGAGAAGGTCAGAGCCGCTCCTGAAGGCCCCCCATGTAGTCCCGGAAGTCCTGGGGGTCCCCCAGCCCCACGTCCGGGCACACCCACTTGATGCCGTCGTCACTGTCAAAGAGGATGGAGTTGGTGTAGGGGCCGCCGTCCTCGGGCAGGATGGTGGTGTAGGACGTGAACTTGACCCGCTTCCGCTTGGGGCCGGGCGGGTGCAGGGGCTCGAGGGCCGCGTCCTTGTCGTAGCCGTAGTCGGCCGGGCCCAGCAGCTGCCCAGGAAATGCCTCCTGGGCACCGCCGTTGAGCAGGAAGTTGCGCTCCTCGTACTGCAGCGCCCGCTCGCCCAGTGCCAGCGCCTCGTCCGAGGGCAGCGTGACGTCCACCGGGTTCTCCAGCAGCTCCACCTCATTGCCCAGCCAGACCCAGTCGTGGGAGTGCGGGTGGCCACCCTGCTCGCTCACCGCCAGCCGCTTGTGCCGGTACCGCCAGGCGAAGGCCACGCAGTTGGCCAGGAACACCAGAATGGCCAGGCAGAAGACGCAGAGCAACGCGTACATGCCGATCTCCAGGTCCGTCAGCCCGCGCGCGCTCACCGTCAGGTCGCCGGGGCCGTCGGGGCCGGGAGAGCGGGCCTGGCCGGGGGGGCCGGTCACGGCGTCGGGGCCCCCGCCCTGGGACTTCTTCCTCTGCCCGTCCCCGGGCGCCCGGGCCGTGGCGCTCCCGTTGGCGCGGCCCTCGGGGCCGGCGGGGGCGCCGTGGGGGGCGCGCTCCTGCACCGCCCGCTCGGGGCCCCCCTGGCGCTCGATGGAGTTGCTGAGGTGGTCCCGGTACTCCCGGCTCACGCCCTCGATGTCGTTGCCGCCGCCCTGGCGCTCCCGCGAGTCGGGCTCGAACTTGACCCTGACGTGGCCCCGGCCCACGGCCAGGACGCTCTTCCTCTTGGTCTTCTGGCAGGCCTCGCTGATGGTCATCTCCAGCTTGACCAGCGGCCCCTGGCCCTCCCCCTCCGCCATCACCAAGGGCCACCGGGACTGCGGGTCGGCCGGGATGGACACCACCAGCTCATCCAGCGAGGTGACTGTCACCGCGAAGTCCTTCGGGTCGTAGAGGTCGAGGGGCGTCGCCGAGCCATCGCTGAAGAAGACCCAGGAGCTGACCAGCGCCTCCTGGGAGAGAGACGCCCGCGTCACCGCTGCCCCTCGCGGGCCACCCGCCCCTCCCGGACAGCGTCTCACACCGGGCAGCATCGACAGGCTCGCTCGTCCGACCACCCCGGACAGCCCATGTGCCCTAAGCGGGTGAGGAAGGAGGGACGGGCAGTCGCGTAGCCGTGGGTGGCTTTGATTCATGCCCGCCACGCCTCGACCTTTGGGGAAGCTTCCGGAGAGCAGGGATCTGTCCCCGTCACCCCGGGGCCAGGGCGGGAGCGGGGGCTTGGGGGGAGGCAGGCCTGGCCCCTTCCCTGGCCTGAGGCCTCGCGCCAGGCTGACTGGCTGGTTTGGCTCTCAGGCGTCACAGTGGAAGGGCGGGGGCCTGGGGCGGGCACAGCCTGACAGAGCACAGGGAAGCCGGCCGGACGGCAGGGACAAGGACAGGACACCCGAGTGGCTGGGCACGGGGCAGCACCTGCCGGGGGGCCTGCAGCACGTCCTGCGCGGTCACCGTGGCCACCAGCGCCCGTCTGTCGGCTCGGTGAGGCTCCAGGGACAGCGACAGGCCGGCCACCAGCTGCACGCCCAGCTCCACGATGGTCACGCGGTCATCCAGCACGATGATCGTCTTCTCGGCCAGGATGGAGTCGGACAGCGGGGAGAGAACCTTTGAAAGAAGAGAAGCCGTGGCGCCGAGAGGGCCTCACCGGGTCGGGGTCCGAGAGAGACTCGCGCGGACAGTCGGGAAACGGAAAGTCACCAGGGGGAGCCGGGCAGAGACTTTTCCGTGTCCACTGGTGTGCTCCAAGGGCCCGTGGGAGGGTTTGAAGGAGTCCCCCACCCCGGCCACGTCCCCGCTCTGGGGCCACGGGCGTGTGGGCAGCGCATGATCCCAGGAGGGCCCTCATCACAGGACTTGAGAGATCAGGTGGCATGTTTCCAATGGGGGGGTGAGAAGCCATTCCAGAACATTCCAGAATATTCCAGCACATTCCAGAAATCCTGCTTCCCAGTTCTTCTACCCACATGCCCATCGACCTGGGGGGCGAGCCAGGAGGAACGGCCACGCAGAATGGGGTCGGCCACACAGAATGGGGTCGGCCACCCAGGATGGGGTCGGCCACCCAGGATGGGTCAGCCTGCCCCGTTCTGCTCCGCCGCTTTGTCCACTGCTGGGATTGGGCTTCTTGTTGACCCTGCATGTCCATTGGCAGTAGCCCCTGCCCCTGCCTGGAGCTGAGCTCGCCTTCCTGGGCTTTGGCCGTTCCCACAGGGAAGACTCAGACCCACCCAGCTGGCAGCACTAGGACAGAGGCCGGGGGGGGCCTGGGGGGGCCAGAACACTGGGTGCCCCAGCAGCATCCGAGAGACCTGGGCAGTGGCTTCTGCCCCCACGTCCCCTACAAGCCCCCCTGGCCACCCCTAGACACTGGCCTCGTAACCCGACACAGAGTCCCACCAAGGCCTGACTTGAGGGTCTAGACCACAGTCCCTAGGAGAGATGGTTCAAGTGGCTGAGCTGGCCGCCACGCTGGGAGCACAGATAGCAACTAGAGGAGGAGCGAGTGGCCGTCAGCCACTCTCCAGGGGCTGGATAGAGCAGTGGTCCATGTGCGCTCACTGGGCACTCACTGGGGGACCACAGGAGGCGCCCGGGGCCACGCTGGCCTGAGACGGAGACGTCACATGCCACGCTAAAGACACAGAACAAACAAGCCCGAGTGAACAGGCTGTGGACAGCGGACCAGGCGGATGGGAGGGCAGTCACCGACAGAAAGGGTGGCAGGCAGCGGGAAGGGGTGCCGTGTCTGGGAGTTTCTCTGGGATAACAACGGGCTTGGGAACCAGATGACCCACGTTCAAAATCCAATTTTGTTGAAAAGTAACTTGGGTGCTATCTGATGCAGGATATGGTCTCTATCCAAGGCTGGATTTGAATTTTTGGTTAAAAACATACTGCACCCGGGGCTGGAGAGATAGCACAGCGGGTAGGGCGTTTGCCTTGCATGGGGCCAACCCGGGTTTGATACCTAGCATCCCATAAGGTCCCCTGAGCACCACCAGGAGTAATTCCTGAGTGCAGAGGCAGGAGTAACCCCTGTGCATTGCCAGGTGTGACCCAAAAAGCAAAAAAAAAAAAAATACTGTGCCCAGATGACTGGTCAAAGAAACTCTGGTCCATTCACACAATGGAATACTACGCAGCTGTTAGGAGAGTCATGAAAGTCATGAAATTTGCTCTCTAAGTGGATGGACGTGGAGAGTCTCAGGCTGAGTGAAATGAGTCAGAAAGAGAGGGACAGACACAGAATGGCTGCACTCATTTGTGGAACACAGAATATCACAATACGAGACTGACACCCAAGAACAGTAGCAACAAGTGCCAGGAGAATCGCTCCATGGTTGGCAGTCTGCCTCGTGAGCTGGGGGAGAAGGCAGCTGGGATAGAGAAGGGATCACAGCGTCCATGATGGCTGGAGGGATGCTCGGGATGGGAGATGTGTGCTGGAAGTAGATAAAGGACCACACGTGATGGCCTCTCGGTATCTGTATTGCGGACCATAATGCCCAAAAGGAGAGAGAGAGTATGGGGGAGATTGTCTGCCATGGGGCAGGGGGAGGGTGGGAAAGGGGGACACTGGGGACATTGGTAGTGGAGAATGTGCACTGGTGGAGGGATGGGTGTTCAATCATTGTATGACTGAAACTCAAACAGGAAAGTCTTATAACTGTATCTCATGGTGATTCAATATATATATATGTATATACATATATATATATATATATTACTGTCACTGTCCTCCCGTTGTTCATTGATTTGCTTGAGTGGGCCCAGTAACATCTCCATTGTGACACTTGTTACTGTGTTTGGCATATCGAATACATCATGGGGAGCTTGCCAGGCTTTGCCGCGCAGGCGAGATACTCTCGGTAGCTTGCCGGGCTCTCTGAGAGGGGCAGAGGAATCAAACCTGGGTCGGCCAGGTCGGCCATGTGCAAGGTAAATGCCCTACCTGCTGTGCTATATATCCAAAATTAAAAAAAAAAAAATACCTCACCATTTCTACAGAACAATGCTGCCAAATTACCTTTGCTAGAACCAAGAGCAAACAACTGTGGATTGATTTTGATTTTAGTTTTGTTTCTTTACTTCTCGCGAAAATCTGTGTTTCCTAAAAATGCTTTGTGTGGCCCTTTAACTGACCAAGGCCTAAGTGCCTCTGCTATGTATGGCCATCTTGACCTATGTGACCCCGCAATAGGCAAAACCAGTGCTATGTATGGTTATCTTGATGTATGGTTATCCTGAGAGAACATCTGTCATGGCTGTCAGTAATAACAAGAAGTAACCATCTCGTGTCTGGTATGTGATGCATATAAATTTTGTAAATCATATGGACACGGCCCTTTGTGTAATCACCTCGTGTCTGGTACCAGATACACATAAACCTTGTAATGCATGACAGGTGAAAACAAACCTTCCTAACCATATATGGGCACGACCTTTTGTGTAGCTGCCTCACTAATGGATATATACCCTGATTGCCCCCAATAAAGTCTGTCCCTTTTTCTCTCTGTTTCTGAGCTGCATTCTGTCTCTTGTGTCTCGTGTTCATTCGGTCGGTCCTTCCCTGCGCCTACGGATCCTAGGACCACCTCCGCGGGCCAGAGAGTGGTTTGGCGGGCCCCCCGCAGCTTTGTCCACTGTTGAAGGTGGATCAGGGCTGAGCGCCTCCTCCGGGCCTGGGAGTGAGCCGAGAGGCGCTGCTGGGGCCCTCCCGGCTCGGCCAGGAGACTCGGGCTGCAGTGCCGGCCGGCTGCCTCGGGCGTGTGTTTAATCTGGCTTCGGCTGGAGAAGAAATGAATGTTTTCAAATTTTCAAATTCCAAATATGAATCTGAACTTAGATGATTAAAGTTGCGGCTGCTCTTGTCTCTCCTTTCCCTCCCTCTCTCTCTCCCTCTCTCTCTCCCTCCCTTCTCCTTCCCCCTCTCTCTCTCTCTCACACACACACACACACACACACACACACACACACACACACCCGCATGAGTCAGGCGGTACCTGCACGGTGGTGATGCCCGGCTCCCGGCCCACCAGCGTCCGGCCATCCTGGAACTGAGCGATCCTTGGCTCCTCCACCTTCATGGATTCAGTCACCAGGTCAGTGACGTCCAGCTGCCAGTCAGGGCCCAGCAGGTAGCTCAGCTGGCCGAGGTCCGGTGACTCGGCCACGAACTGGGTGAGGACGCGCACGGTGGCGTGCTGGTACTGCAGCGAGCACCCCCGGCCCTTCCTCTCCTCGTCCTCCTCGTCCTCACTCTCCCGGGTGGGCCTGGAGGGCAGATGGGCCACGGGGAGAACTCAGCCCACACAGGTGCTCCTGTGACCCCAATGCCCGGGTCGGCCCGGCTGAGGCCAGCATGGGGCTCTTCCCACTGGCCCTGCTTCCCCAAGGTTGCCCCCGAGCAGCCCTCCGAGAGGGATCCCGGGTAATCACCACTGACTCATCCCAAAAAAAACCATCCCCCCGAGAGTCATCCCCAAGTGACTCCTGAGCATCATCCCCGAGAGTCAACCCTGAGAGTTATCCCAAGTCACCCAAGTCATCCCCAAGAGTCATCCCCGAGTCATTCCTGAAAGTCATCCCTGAGAGTCATCCCCAAGAGTCATCCCAAGTCACCCGAGTCATCCCCGAGAGTCATCCCTTAGTCACTCCTGAGAGTCATCCCCAGAGTCATCCCCAAGAGTCATCCCCGAGAATCACCCCTGAGTCATCCCTGAGTCATCCCCCAAAAATAACCCCCTAAGAGTCATCCCGAGTCATCCAAAGTCACCCCTGAGTCCCTCCGAGTCATCTCTGTGCATCACCCCGAGAGTCATCCTTGAGTCACTCCTGAGAGTCATCCCCAAGAGTCATCCCCGAGAATCACCTGAGAGTCATCCCCGAGAGTCATCCCCCAAAAATAACCCCCTAAGAATCATCCCGAGTCGTCCAAGTCACCCCCGAGTCCCCCCAGTCATCTCTGCGCATCACCCCGAGAGTCATCCTGAGTCCTCCCCGACCCCCGGCCCCCCTCACCTCCGGTTGGCGCCCACGGGGACCCGCCAGCCCTTGATCTGGCTGAGCTCGGTGTCGGAGACCTCCATCTGCAGGGGCAGGCGGGGTGCCCACACGGTGACCTCCAGCTGGGAGGTGAAGTGCTGGTGAGTGAAGTTGACGATGGTGCCCACCTTGCTCTTCATCTCCTTTCCGTTCACGAAGACGGAGTCGCAGGTGTTGGAGACCTGGGGAGGGCGCTGGATGGGGTGGCCGGCAGGGCCGGGACAAGCGCACCGCAGACCCGACAGCACAGGCCCAGGGGCTCGACCCGCAGCCCCTCCAAGCCCCCGTGGGGTGGCCACATTCACACGTGTCCCCTCCTCCCCGCGACCCCCGGCTGCACAACCCAGGGCAGCATTTTTCACTCTGGCTTCAACTCTGACACCGCCTCCAGGGAGCCTCGTGGGGCTCAAGAACCCAGCCCTCGGGCCAGAGAGGGGCCGGGCTGGGAAAGCAAACGGTAGAAAACTGTCGCAGGATGGGAGATCTTGGCTGCCGGGACCAGCCCCACGAGCCCCCACGCACCCTGAGGGCTAGAGGGAACCCCCGCCAAGTGCCCCAAGCACTTCTGCAGAACCACGAGAACCCAGAGACACGAGCCCTGGGCTGAGCGGCCGCACGGGGAGAGGCTGCCCCAGAGGCCGAGGCGGGGCAGGGCCACAGGCTGCCCTGGGCGGGCACAGCTGAGCCAACCAGCTGCCAACCAGCCCTGCTCCAGCTCCCCTGAGATGCCCTTGAACTCTCAGACGAAGGAGCCTCGACCAAGTCCAGGGGCCCTGGCTGGTCAGCCAGACTGTAGCCCGGTGAGGGACTCGGGGCGTTTCGACAGTGTAATGCCACCCCCGCTCAGAGCTCTGGCCGTTGGCACACGGCCGAACACACAGCAGGACCCCGACACCTGCGGGGGGACCTAGCGGGCACCACTGCCTAGTGTCCAGCCACTGGCCCACATCAGCCAGGAGAAGGAATGGGCCGGAAAACGCCACCATTCAAGTTTCAGATCCCCAAACAGCGCCCAGGGCCGCTTCCTGACAGGGGCCGCCAGAACCAAGCCTATGGGAAAGACCTGCCACCGTGGCCGGAGCTGGCGCAGACTCCTCACATGAGGTTCCCTTTTAAAAAAAAAAAAACATATTTCGTTTTCGGCTAAAATGTATTTCTCAACGGGACAGCAACTGTTTCGAGAGATATAAAGAAGAAGAAGGGATAGCTCTGTCCGGCTAAGAAGAGGCAGACTATGCCGATAAGGACAGATTTAATGGCAAGGCCAAAGCCAGCGAGACCGTTTAAATCCATCCCCCTGAGGGTCATCGGGAGCGTGAGGGTCAGACACGGTGCAGGCACGGGCACACGGGGGCAGGGGACTGGGGCAAGGGGGAAGGGGCAGGGTGGTACAGCGATGTGGGGTGCAGGGGTGTGAGGGCAGGAGGGGGAGTAAAGGGGGCAGGTTGGGTGCAGGGGTGCAGGGGTGTGGGGGGCAGGGTGGGTGCAGGGATGCAGGAGCAGATGGGGGCAGGGGTGTGGAGGCAGGTGGGGGCAGGGGTGCGGGGGCAGGTGGGTGCAGGGGTGCAGGGTCAGGAGGGTACAGGGGTGTGGGGGGCAGGGGAGGGTTCACACAGGCCCGCCCAGGTGCCTGCTCTCTGCAGAAACAAGCCCTAAGAGGTATAGCCAAAGAACGAAGGGTCACACGACAGGGCGTGGGGAGACCCCCCTCAGAGCATCCCTGCCCTCCCCCAGAGCCTCTCCTACGTGGACCCCCGGAGCCGTGGGCTGACCGTGACCCCCTAGGGGAGGTCCCACCCGCCCAGACTGAGCACCACAGCGTTGGGCATCGGGGTCTGGGTGGATGAAACCGAGCCCTGAGACATGTGGCCTGTCAGAGCCGGCAGCGCCCACGCAGGGACCCGCCTCAGAGCCACAGCCAGCCTGAGCGGGCCCGGTCACTGGCTCCCTGGCCTGCCAGTCACTGTCAGCACGGACGGGTCCACTGGGCCCCATGAAGGGACACGAGCTGACACTGAGGCTGACCCCGGGCAGGGGCCCGGCCTGCTCCTGACACAGACCTGGGGGACCCAACCCCGAGCTCACGGCACACACTTGGCTCTCTGTGTACACACACAGACACACAGACACACAGACACAGACACACAGACACACACAGACACACAGACAGACACACACAGACACACAGACACACAGAGACACACACAGACAGACACACAAAGACACAGACACATACACACAGACACACAGACAGACACACACAGACACACAGACACACAGAGACACACACAGACAGACACACAAAGACACAGACACATACACACAGACACACCCAGACACTCACACAGACACACACAGACACACACAGACACACACGGACACACACAGACACACACAGACAGACAGACATGCAGACACACACAGACACACACAGACCCAGACAGACACACACAGACAAACACACACGGACACACACAGACACACACAGACAGACAGATATACATGCAGACACACACACAGATACATAGACCCACAGACAGACATACACAGACACACACAGACACACACACAGACACACAAATAGACAGACACACACAGATACAGACACACACTCTCACAGAGTGATACACGGCTCCTCTCCATGTGGGTCTAGGCCATAAGGGGTCACATATGACCCCCCGAGACACCTCTACCCGAACTGTATGTGATGACCACAGTGTGTGTGCCCCAAGCCCCTGGCTGCGGTCACGGTCCCACCTGCCCTGCTGGCCCAGATTCTGCTTGCTGGGCCCCTGACCCGGCCCTTCCCGGGGGTCTCCACAGAGGGGTGTCTGGGAGCACAGCGCTGCTGAGTGCCTGGGACACGGGCCCTGACACCCGCAGGCCACACATGGCAGGGGGCGCCCAGGGGGCAGAGGTGCAGGAGCAGGTGGGTGCAGCAGTGCAGGGGCAGGGGGGCACAGGGGTGCAGGGGCAGGGGGGTGCAGGGGTGCGGGGTGCAGCCGGGGCAGTACCTTGACAATGTCCTCATCGGCCGACTTGCACTCCACGTCCCCCGTCACGCGGACCACGGCCCCGTCCTCCTCCACGGCCACCACCTGCACGGGCACGGCCACGGGCCTGCCGGTCAGCACGGCCGTGTTCAGCAGCTCCGTGTCCTGCGGGAGGGGAGAGGTTCAGCCCCACGGGACCCACGGGCCTCGGTGCTCCCTGCCACACCCACCACACCCCAGCCCAGAGCTGTCGGCGGGTCCCGAGCCCAGACGGGCGCCTTCAGCAGAGACGACGGCAGAAAAGGCCCCGGGAGGGGACCCCAGAACACAACACGGGGGGTGCACGCTGGGCTGGGGACCCTCAGGCCTGCAGCCCGTACTCCCCCAGGCCCGGGAGCTGCCCCACGTCACCCCCCAGAGTCTGACCACCCAAAGAAGGGGGAAGGGAGGGGAGGCGGAGGGTGAGAGAGAGGGGGGAGGGAGGGGAGCTAAGAGGAGGAGGAGGAGGAAGGTGAAGAAAGAGAGAAGGGGAAGAGGGAAAGAGGAGGAGGGAGAGCAGGAGGAGGAGGAGGAAGAGGAGGAGGAGGAGCTCTCAGCCTGATGTGACCCCGTGCTCAGGCTCCCGAACGTGCCCACTGGCACCCACTGGCACCCGCCCTGTGACTTTACACCTGGCATCACGGGCACTTGCCAAGGAGACCAGGAAGGCCATGGGAACGTGCGAACAGCTCCCAGCTCTGAGACGCAGCTGCCCCCCCAACCCCCTCAGCCCCTGGTCCCAGCCCCCGGCCCTGCCCCCAGCCCCGGCCCCGCCTCCACCCCCCCAGCCTCATCCCCCCCCGCCCCCATCCCCACCCTGGGCAACCAGGGCAGGGCAGCGGTTCCAGGTCCAGCCCCAGGTAGCCTTGACTGGTGCGGGGACGCGGGCCTGACACAGAGGGAGACAGGGAGGAGGTGGCCAGGCAGGGCCATGGGGCCCATGTGGCAGAAGGCCAGTGCGGGCAGGGACAGACTGTCCGGGTGATGTGCACTGGGCTGGGACCCCCGAGGAGGGCAGGGGTGTCCCACCCCGACCTGGCACTCCCGGCCTCCGCAGGTGGCCACTGGGGGGGGGGGTCTCTGTATTGGGGGACCATCGCCTGACACTGTCCCCAATGCCGACGCCGGTGGACATTACCGTCCATCGGAGCGTCCTCTGCTCCTCGTGGCCGGGGTGAGGCTCCGCACCTCCATGCGGACGACATTCCTCAGAGTCAGACGCGCTCCACTCACAGCCCGCGGAAGTGACCTCAGGGACAGGCCCGAGTGACATCCCTGTCCACTCTGGCCTCGGCCCTGCTGCCCTCTGTGGGGCGACTCCACACACAGACGCGACCTGGGTTCCGGAGTCCCTGGGAAAGCCCTCGCTTTCCAGGTCATTCTGCCCTGGAGGACCCCCGGCCAGCCCCACGTTCCCCTGCACGGCCCACACTCTCCACTTCTTGGCATCTTCAGGGGGGCCAGGATGCAGGCGGGAGGCCGATGACCGCGCCGAGACCCCACCCGATGGCCCGGCCCGCCTCCTCCTCCTCCTTTCCCCTTGAACTAACTGACTTGTATTTTCGGCTTGTATTAATCTCCTCAATCGATTTCTTTACCCATGTTTTATTTTTTAATGAGCCTTCTAGGATTTAGGATACATATTTCATCATCTTCTCGTGTGCCCTGGGACTCAGAATAGTCTGCTTCCAAATAAGATAATACCACTTTGCACACGACAGGAATCCTACGGCAGTTTTTCCTTCCCTTCTTTCGTTTCTCGTGCTGCTGCTGTTAACATAACACGCGGAGTACGGTCCCACTCTCCGCAGCCCAGTCTCCATTAATTCCTGCTATGATAGCTTCTCATTCTAGCTAGATGAGACACTAACCCCAACAGAGGATTTTGCTTTAAACATCTTCTAAGACAAAAAAAAATGTTCCGACTGATCACAGAATCCTGGATTGATCTTGCGTGACCTTCTCTTTAGGTCTGGGCGGCTCCTAGTGCTTTTAATTCCTCTGCCTCGTGCTATTCCTGAGGAAAAGTCAGCTGAGAGCCCGTTTTGCTCGCACAGCCAGCTTCTGAAGGCTCCGGCTCCTCGGACCCGGGGAGGCTGCGCCGTGGGGGTCTGGTGGCGGCAGCGCCTGCAGGAAGATGCACTTCACAGCCCGAGGCTGCAGCTGCTCTGCAGAGCACGTGGAACCTGATGGCAGCCGCTAAAGTCAAAGCGTCTCCCCTGGCCCGTGGCCATGCGGGTCGGCGGTGGGCAGTCTCTGCCGGCCTTCCCGTCACTCTCTCCTGGCGGGGTCTCGCCTGCCTGTGCCTCCAACAGGAAGCCCGTGGCAGGGGCGAGCCTCCCGCCCCACAGAGCCCCTGGCCATGGCGCCCGCAGCCTTCCCCTACGATGCGGCCTGGCCAACTGCTGGAAGAGGTGCTGACATGCGCTTGGCAGTGGCAAGACGATACTCAGGAGCTGAGATCCTCCCTAGGGGACTCAGCCACAGCCACCGAGACGCACATCCCTGCCCTGGGCGGGGGGCCAGGACTGTCCAATGATAACAGGCGCTGGGGCGGGGGCGGGGGTCTGGCAGCTCATCTGTAACTTTCCACCTGGCGTCCAGTAATGAAGATCTCCACGAGCCTGACCACTGCCGCCAAGCGCGGGGCCCAGAGAAGAGAGGAGGAAGGAGAGAAGGGCGCCCGGGCCGAGCCATGCAGGGCTGACAGGGGGCTGAGACGGCAGGGGGCGGCCGGCTCGCGTGGGCCGATGGACACAGAGAGGCGGCAACGTCCCTGCACATGGACCGGCCAGGAGCGTGTGGAGGGCAGCCCGGGGCCGCGGGCAGGGGTCAGGGGCGTCGGTGTGTCTGAGACCCCCCCAAGCCCCCCTGAGCCCCACTGAGCACGGGCCACCCTGGTCTGCTGCGGCTCTCAGAAGTCCCTGTGCAGTTGCACCCCATGTCCTCTTTTTTTTTTGCTTTTTTGGGGGGTCACACCTGGTGATGCACAGGGGTTACTCCTGGCTCTGCACTCAGGAATTACCCCTGGCGGTGCTCAAGGGACCATATGGGATGCTGAGAATCGAACCTGGGTCGGCCGCATGCAAGGCAAATGCCCTACCCTCTTACAGGAAATGTACCCTGAGGCCCGTGTTCATCTGCACCGCCCCCATCAGACTCGGGGCCACAGCAGGGCACCCCTGGCCTCGCCCTGGCCCACACACTCTCCCCCGAAGGTGCTTGCTTCTGAGTGACACCACTGGACAGGTGCGTGTCCCTCGGCACAAAACGAAATGAAATGTTCGCCTGGTCGGAACCACACACAACGGGAGAGGCCGGGCCTCGGGGCTGCGCTGACGGCCAGTCACAGGCGCCCGGAGAGCCGGAGAGAACAGGTCGAGGGCCTCCAGCTGACCGGAGGGGACAGGAACCAAGCCCCACCCGCCCAGAGCCTCTGGTCTGAGCCGGGCTGGGAGTCCTGGGGCTGGGCGGGCGGCTGCAGAGGGAGGCGGCACCCAAGAGCCCACCTCGGCCCGTCCCCAGCAGAACACAGGGACCCCGAGCCCCACGGGAACCTGGAGCTAAAGGGCAAGAAGCCGGCAAGGCCACAACAACGGGTCCTCACCGGGCCAGGGCGCCAGGAGGCCGCTCGCCTTTGCACCGAAGAACAGGAGGAGTGAATTCACGCATGTCTGCAGTGGCGGGGGGAGATGCCAGGCACGCAGGGGCAGGGTGGGTGGTGGGACAGGTAAGGCCTGAAACAATCACAACCGTTAACAAGAAAACTTGGTAAATCACTGTGTTGTGAGGAAGAAGGGAGGGAGGGAAGGAGGGAAGTCGGAAGGAGACAGGAAGGAGAGAGGGAGAAGGGAAAGGAAGGGGGGGAGGGAGGGCATCTTAGGTCCAAGGGGATTTAGCCCAGCAAGCTAAGACGCTGCCCACATCCCCAGCGTCCAGGCGAGCACATTAGGAGGGCAGAGACCTGGGGAAATGAGTGCTCTCCGGGAAAGCACAGTTCCCCAGAACAGACGGAAACTAGGGCTCGGGCTGGGCTCGGTGCTCCAGCTGCCTCCTGGCTCTGTGTTCAGGGTCACTCCTGGTGCGGCTCTAAGGACTCTCTGGGGTGTCCGGATGAAACCCAGCTTGGCCGTGTGCAAGGCAAGGTCCTCCCACCGACTAAGGCCCCAGAATCAAGTGGGTTTTAATAAAGTGGGCTGACTCCTGGCTCTGTACTCAGGGATCACTCCCGGAGGTGCTCGGGAGACCCTCTGGGATGTCGGGGATCAAACTTCAGTCAGCCGCATGCAAGGCAAGTGCCCTACCCGCTGCACCATTGCTCCAGCAACACATATAGATTCTGTTTTATATAATTATGAAGATGATATAATCATTTAATAATTTAAACTTAAGGTGATTTTTTTAGGTTGAGTTGGTGAGGGAACAAAAAGACCCAAATACATCCTTCCTATGCAACCTTAAGGAGACAGACATGGGCAAAAACTAAAAGCTGCACGGATATGTAAATGAGTGTATCATTTAATGCTATTCAAAGCAAGTGCTGTAGCTGCGTGAATATCAAAGTCGATTTCACACCCAGCACAGACCCAGAAGTGCACAAGGAATGACAAAAGGATCGTTTGTCCGCCCGAATCCCTGCATCCGGCCAGCTTCAGACAAACAAAGTCAAAACTGAAAGACGCAGGAAGGAAACTAGAGAGGCCTGCACCTCTTTTTTCCCCTTTTTGGGTCACACCCAGCGATGCACAGGGGTTACTCCTGGCTCTGCACTCAGGAATCACTCCTGGTGGTGTCAGGGGACCATATGGGACGCTGGGAATCGAACGCGGGTTGGCCGTGTGCAAAGCAAACGCCCTACCCACTGTGCTATTGCTCCAGCCCCAGGTCTGCACATTCTGACCCAGCTGTGCAGGGGGCTGGCCCGGGTGTTTAGGGGCCGCCCAGGTATGTAGGGGCTGGCCCAGGTGTGTAGGGGCTGCCCAGGTGTGTAGGGGAGGGGCCCAGGTGTGCGGGGTGGGCCCAGGCGTGCGGGGCGAGCCCAGGTGTGCGGAGTGGACACAGGTGTATGGGGGCTGGCCCAGCTGTGTGGGAGCAGGCCCAGGTGTACAGGGTCTGGCCCAGGTGTGTGAGGCAGGCCCAGGTGTGCATGTGCCCGGTGCAGGCAGGTGAGGCCACAGCTGATGTGTGCGCGCCATCTGGTGGACACCCCTGGAACTGCGGCCCAGGCTCCCAAAGGCACCTTGTCCTTTTGCAGGGCCCAGCTGCGGGGTGGGGGGCTGCCGGGGCGCTCCCGGGCTCTGGGTGTGCCGGAGCAAGCAGTGACCCCCAGGGCGGCACGAGGGGCCTGGGAAGGCTCCTAGAAGAACCCCAACTCCTCACAGAGGCCAAGGTCAGGCGCGTCCCCCTACCCTGGCCCTGCCTCCTGGGGGTCCACCCCCTTCTCAGGGGAGCCTGGGCGGCGAGGAGCCCCAGTGACAGCAGAAGGAGGGCAGGCCCAGCCCGAGCGCTCTGCTCGGGAACCTCAGCCAGCAGAGCCTCCTGCACGGGCCAAGCCTGGCCTCCCGACCACCCCCGCCCCTGTCTGGTCCAGGACACGGGTGCCCCGGGGCCTCTTCCCGGCCAGGATGCAGGTGTGGTGTCTCCAGGCCTCAGAGCCTGACCGCCGCTGCCCTCCCTTCCTCGGCGTGTGCCCAGTTGCCTGGAAACTCCCGAGCGAGTGGGCTCCTGCCGCGCTGCAGGATAATGTGTTTTTATCTGCGGGCACAGAGCGGGGCTTTTCAGCCCGAGAAGTGCAATTCTGCGCGAGTGGCAGCGCTGAACGCTGAGCCACCTACGGAGAGATCCGTGTGCCCAGAGCAGAGATTGGGCAGAAGCAGAGCCGCTGTGAAAGGGACGGGGCGGAGCATGGACGCTCACAGCCAGAGGAAGTAAGTGGGGGGAGGGAAGGGAGGGAGGGGAGGGAAGTGGGGAAGAGGCAGGAAGGAGCGGGCAGAAGGGGGGAGGGGTGGGGGGGGGGAACGAAGCCTGAGCAGCTGCCCAGACACTACTCGCAAATTTCAGGCTCTAAAGATGCAGCAGAAACGCCACTCAGGCAAGACCCATCTCTCCCGAGACCCGTTTTGAGGGGGATCTTTGGGGGCTCGACCATCTCGGCTGCTGGGCCAGGAAACAACGACGTCAGGCAGAGCTTCCCGAGGCGCCCAGCCCTGAGCCCACATCAAGGGTTTCTCCCTTCCACTCCCCAAGACCCTCACCCTGCACACATGCGCACACAAAACCACAGACATGTGTCGTTGGGTGGCGCTTCTCCTGCCAGTGGGGGCTGGAGGAGGGGCCAGGGGTCGAGGGGCGGCCCTGAGGATTCAAATATGAGATGAGAAGAGGAGTGGACGGATGGACACAAGCCACAAGCCGAAGGGTGGGAGGATGGGGGTGGGCGTGTGGGCAGATGAACGGGCATGGGTGGAGGGAGGGTCGGTGAGTGGATGGGATGGATGATAAATGCATGGATGGGTGAGAAAGTGAGCGGATGGACAGATGGACGGGTGGGTGGGTGGATGGGTGGATGGGTGGGTGGGTAGGTGGGTGGATGGGTGGGTGAGTGAGTGGGTGGATGAGATGGATAGACAGATGGATGGGTGGATGGGTGGGTGGGTGGGTGGATGGGTGTGTAGATGGGTGGGTGGGTGGATGGGTGGGTGGGTGGATGGGTGGATGGATGGATGGATGGATGGATGGATGGGTGGGTGGATGGATGGATGGGTGGGTGGATGGGTGGATGGGTGGGTGGATGGGTGAGTGGGTGGATGGGTGGATGGGTGGGTGGATGGGTGGGTGGGTGGATGGGTGGATGGGTGGGTGGGTGGATGGATGGATGGATGGATGGATGGGTGGATGGGTGGATGGGTGAATGGGTGGATGGGTGGGTGGATGGATGGATGGGTGGATGGGTGGGTGGGTGGATGGGTGGATGGGTGGATGGGTGGGTGGGTGGATGGGTGGGTGGGTGGATGGGTGGATGGATGGATGGATGGATGGATGGGTGGATGGGTGGGTGGGTGGGTGGATGGGTGTGTAGATGGGTGGGTGGGTGGATGGGTGGGTGGGTGGATGGGTGGATGGATGGATGGATGGATGGATGGGTGGGTGGATGGGTGGGTAGGTGGGTGGATGGGTGGGTGAGTGAGTGGGTGGATGGGATGGATGGACGGATGGATGGGTGGATGGGTGTGTGGATGGGTGGGTGGGTGGGTGGGTGGATGGATGGATGGGTGGATGGGTGGGTGGGTGGATGGATGGATGGATGGATGGATGGATGGATGGGTGGATGGGTGGGTGGATGGATGCGTGGATGGGTGAGTGGGTGGATGGGTGGATGGGTGGATGGGTGGGTGGGTGGATGGGTGGGTGGATGGGTGGGTGGGTGGATGGGTGGATGGGTGGATGAATGGATGGATGGATGGATGGATGGATGGGTGGGTGGGTGGATGGGTGGATGGATGGGTGGGTAGGTGGGTGGATGGGTGGGTGAGTGAGTGGGTGGATGGGATGGATGGACAGATGGATGGGTGGATGGGTGTGTGGATGGGTGGATGGATGGGTGGATGGGTGGGTGGGTGGATGGGTGGATGGGTGGATGGGTGGGTGGGTGGGTGGGTGGATGGATGGATGGATGGATGGATGGGTGGATGGGTGGATGGGTGGGTGGATGGGTGGGTGGATGGGTGGATGGGTGGATGGGTGGATGGGTGGGTGGGTGGATGGGTGGGTGGGTGGATGGGTGAATGGGTGGATGGATGGATGGATGGATGGATGGATGGATGGATGAATGGATGGATGGGTGGGTGGGTGGGTGGGTGGGTGGATGGATGGGTGGATGGGTGGGTGGATGGATGAATGGATGGATGGATGGGTGGGTGGATGGGTGGATGGGTGGGTGGTTCAATGTGAATGGATGGATGGGTGAGTGGGTGGTTGGATGGATAATAAATGGATGGGTGGTTGGTGTGTGGGTGGCATCTCACGTGCCCAGGAGAGACCCCAAGCACTGAAGCGGGGAGCTAATACCAGGGCCCAGATGGGGGTCTTGTAAAAGAACAGTGTTATCTTGACGTGACAATCTCAGTCCAGGGACCCCCCTTGACACCCCAGAATGCAGCTCTTATCCTCACGGTGGTTTGTTCCAGCAGCAAAAGGAAATTAATCCAGCAAATGAGCATGCAGTGGCCAGGCACACAGGCCTCAGGGCAGACACGGGTGTCCACTTCCTGTGCAGACGCCCAGGAGTGGCCGCGGGCAGAGCCACTGGGCGGGCCCAACTGGGCAGTGCACCCCAACAGCCATGTGGCCTCTGCCGTGCAAGCCCAAGCTCCTCCCTCCCTCTGCCCAGGGCCACAGCTCGGCTTGGCCAGCAGGGTGTGCGAGGGAGCAGGGTGAGAGTCAGGGTTCTGGTTCCGAGCACCCCCTCGGGACTGGGCCCCACCTTCCTTCTCAGGTGCTGCTGGGCTCCCACCCCAGCCCAGCCCTGAGCACCAGCACCAGCACGTTCTCCCGGCCTGTGGCCTGTCCCCGCATCCAGCGGGCTCTGCGGCATGGCCCAACGGGAGCGACCCACCTCAGGGCTCACCACGGTCCCAGGGCCCCCACCAGCCACCCCACGTTCTCTGCTTTCTCCCTGATTCTCCCTCGGGAGCCCGTCATCGGCCAAGCCCCCGGGGGGCAGGAGGCGCAAGTCGGCACCCGGAGAGTGGCGAGGGGCACGCGAGGGGCGGCTGGCAGGAGCCCACGGACACGAGGACTGCACCCAGCAGGGGGCAGCAGGAGGAGGGGCAGGCCAGGCCCAGGACGGCCACAGACGGGGGCCACAAGGGGTCCACCACGTCCAGCTCCTGCCACACACACACCTGGAGCTGCATAGAGGGGCGAGTCCTCCCATAACATGGGGGCGAGGGGGACAAGACCTGCTCCCTGAGCAGCAGGCTGGGCCCACAACCCCCCATCCTGCCCCACCAGGCACCCTGGCCAGTCCCACGTTTCCTCTGACCCCCCACGGGAGCAGCCCGGCAGCTCAGGGATGGGCTGTGCCCACCACGGGCTCCCCCTCTCAGACCCGGGCACCGGACGGTGGGGGGAGGCGGGGTCGCTGTCTCCGTGGGGACAGCAGGGACCCCCGGGAACCGCAGACCCTGCAGTGTCGCGGCCAGCCCCACTCACCATGGCCAGGGGCACGATGCCCACGAAGGACGACTGGCTGACGAAGATCTCGGAGACCACCAGGTCGCTGGTCACATCCTCCGCCGGGTACTCCACCTGCCAGGTGATCTGCTGTGCGCCCACCAACTCGCTGCTATTGTCCACCCCGAAGTCCACCTGCAGGAACTCGTACAGGGAGCCGTTCACCCTGCAAGACACGCAGGACACGCAGTTGTCAGCTAACGCGCTGAGCCCGGAGACAAGGCGCAGGACTGGTCCGGGCGCCCCGTGCGGGGGTGGGGTGGCCGGGGGCGTCTCAGAGCCAACCCGTGACCTGTGTGCAGGGCTCGGACATGGAGACCCTCCATCAGCACACATATGTGCACACACGCGAGCACTGAGCACCACACGCCAGCACCACGGAGCACTGAGCAGGCCCCCTCCCTTGATGCTGGGAGTGGTGACAAAAATGACCTGACCAGGCCAGCACCCGAGGGAGGCCTCAGCCTCTGTCCTCCCACTTGGCCCAGGGTCTAAGAAACTCCGATTCCAGCGTGCCCCAGGCGGCAGCTACGGCTACACAATGCTCCACATCCAAAGGTTGGTTTGAAGTATGCAGGAGCACTCACACCCGGGAGCACTCACACCCGGGGAGCACTCGCACAGGGAGCACTCACACACTGGGGAGCATTCACACACTGGGGAGCACTCACAGATTGGAGCACTCCCATGCAGGGGAGCACTCACACGGGGAGCACTCACACAGGGGAGCACTCACGTGGGGTTTCTTCCGTGAAAGCAGATAAAGAGAAGGGGAGGAGCTAAGCACCCCTGGTCTGAGCATGTGTGTGCATCTTTAGCTGAGCCCAGTAGGGTGGCGGCACTGAGGTCTCAGCCGTGGGGACACCCACGCCAGCCAGTCAAGACCGGCTCCATCTGCAATCTTTCCTTCTTCCAGACTTGGAAATAAAGCTGAGAGCTGAGCCCGGGAGTAAGCCCTGAGCACTGCCGGGTGAGGGAAGGACGGATGAACAGAAGGGAGGGCGGAAGGGAGGAAGGGAGGGAGGAGGGCGGGAGGGCGGGAGGAGAGTCCCTCGGGCCGGGCATCCCTGGGTGAGACAGTGCCACTCTCTTCCCCAACCAAGGAGCGCCCCATCGCAAACAGCAAGTGTTCATCCCGACCCCTCTGGCCAAAGCCCCCCAGACCTGCCCTCCCGCACTTGGTATCCCTCCTCCCAGAGCACCCCAGGCTGGCCCAGGTGCCCCGTCTGCTGACTAGCATCCTTCCCAACCTGGGAGCCATAAATCTTGGCATTGCGTGTGGCTGCGGCTGCTCGGCTGGCACTGCCAGGCGGTCCATCGTCGGCGTTATCACTGGGCCCTGCCCGCAGCGGGGACTTTATCAGCATCGCCGTGACAGGCCCAGAGACAGCAGAGACGACGGCCACGATTAATTTTTGCCTCCGTCTCCACCCCTCTGTTCTATCCAACTCCGTTCCCCAAACCCTTCCAGGAAACAGCCCAGAGTTCCCACCCACCGCCTTTTCCCGTCCCTCCAGAGCCCAGGACAGCTCTTGCAAGCAGCCTCGGGGTCTAACACACCGTGCCACCCCCCGGGTTCAAAGCCACGCCTAGGAAGAGGACAGCGTTCTTCCACCACTGCCGAGCTCCTGTGACCCCCAGCACGGCAGCTGGCTTCCGAGGGCCCCACAGACCGTTGGCGCATGTGCGGCAGGACCACCCAGGAGCCACCGCCTCGTTCTCCTGCAGCTGTGGGTGCTGCTGGTCCTGCTTCCAGAACATTCTCTGGCCCAAAGGAAGGGGGAGCACAGTCATTCTCCTCTGAGGGCTGAGTGCTCTGGTCTGGACGGAGGACCAGATGGATGGATGGATGGGGGATGGATGGGTGGATGGTGGGTAGATGATGGATGGATGGATGGATGGATGGATGGATGGATGGATGGATGGGTGGATGGATGGATGGATGGATGGTGGGTAGATGATGGATGGATGGATGGATGGGTGGATGGTGGGTAGATGATGGATGGATGGATGGATGGTGGGTAGATGATGGATGGATGGATGGATGGATGGATGGGTGGATGGTGGGTGGATGGATGGACGGATGGATGGTGGGTGGATGGATGGGGGATGTATGGATGGATGGGTGGATGGATGGTGGGTAGATGGATGGGTGGATGGATGGATGGATGGATGGGTGGATGGTGGGTGGGTGGATGGATGGATGGTGGGTAGATGATGGATGGATGGATGGATGGATGGGTGGATGGTGGGTGGATGGATGGACGGATGGATGGTGAGTGGATGATGGATGGATGGATGGATGGATGGATGGGTGGATGGTGGGTAGATGATGGATGGATGGGTGGATGGATGGATGGATGGATGGTGGGTAGATGATGGATGGATGGATGGATGGATGGGTGGATGGTGGGTAGATGATGGATGGATGGATGGATGGGTGGATGGTGGGTAGATGATGGATGGATGGATGGATGGGTGGATGGTGGGTGGGTGGATGGATGGATGGTAGGTAGATGATGGATGGATGGATGGATGGATGGATGGATGGATGGATGGATGGGTGGATGGTGGGTGGATGGATGGACGGATGGATGGTGGGTGGATGGATGGGGGATGTATGGATGGATGGGTGGATGGATGGTGGGTAGATGGATGGGTGGATG